CCCAGCATTTGGTCCAAAGGAAATTGGGGGAAAACGGGCCGTTCGAGAGCCCTTGGTTCAGTATGTAAATCGGCCTGGCACCCGCCACGTCCTCTGAAGGTTGAGACGAGTGCGGAAGGCGAGAGTGCTGGAAAGCTCCCATTTGAGGAACCTCTGACTTGGAACCTCCACGGGCATTTCTCCCCTTTTCTTATAAACGCCCCAGCATTTGGTCCAAAGGAAATTGGGGGAAAACGGGCCGTTCGAGAGCCCTTGGTTCAGTATGTAAATCGGCCTGGCACCCGCCACGTCCTCTGAAGGTTGAGACGAGTGCGGAAGGCGAGAGTGCTGGAAAGCTCCCATTTGAGGAACCTCTGACTTGGAACCTCCACGGGCATTTCTCCCCTTTTCTTATAAACGCCATCTAGAACTCACATGGCCTTCCGTGCACCCCTCCCCCCGGCGGGAGAGCCCGAGCTACTGCCCATGCCAGTGTCCCCGCAACGTCTGCACTGCTGCGTGTAGCGTGCCAGCGTGAGCCCTGCTAGTGCCGTCTGGCCCGGGGCTGGGAGGCTGGCTGCCAGAGGCAGGCCAGGCAGTGGAACTTGTGTGATTGCTGTGATCCGTTCTCGGGATGGGGCTCTGCTGCTTCCATGTCACTCGATTGCGTGGAAATGCCCCTCTGATCACTAGAGAGCCTGGGAAGGCGTCCTGAGGAGGCAGGAATGTCGATGAGCCTTTCTCTCCTAGAACACTGTCCAAGGACTGCCAGATGCTCCTCTTCTCAGCAACCTTCGAGGAAGCCGTGTTGCAGTTTGCGGAGCAGATCATTCCGGACCCCAACATCATTAAACTCCGCCGAGAGGAGATGACCCTGACCAATATCAGGCAGTTCTACTTCCTGTGTGAGCACAAAGCCGACAAGTACCGGGCACTGTGCAATGTCTATGGCAGCATCACTGTTGGCCAGGCGATCATCTTCTGCCAGGTAAGGGTCTCCCGGCCCTGGGGCACGTGTGCTAAGGGAGCCAGATGGCTGGTTTCACAGAAGTGAACGGTGCCGACGGGACTTTGTCAAAGGCGCCTTTAAGTTGTGCAGTCATCTTCCTAGGCCAGTTCTCATGGAGCAGGGGCGCCAACCTTTGTAAGCACAAGATCACTCTTTGAATTTGTCAGTCCAGGATCCACCTCAAACCCAAGTACCCCTTTGCCGAGGCCCCGCCCTCCTCACCTGTGAAGAGTGGTACAGGGGAGGGGGACAGTGTCATCAGCACCCCCCGCCTCTGTCTCCCCCACCCCGCACAACAAGGAGGAGGCTCCCGGGGCAGTGGGGGCAGGGGCCACTGAAGTGCCTCCCAGCCCAACCGGTCAGGATCACTTGTCAGAGGCGCCAAGATCTACCAGTAGCTCCTGCTCCACTGGTTGGTGCTTACTGCCCTAGAGCATGGGAGCGTGACTGCGCATGTGCACACAAGTATCCAGGACACTTTCCGTTCTCTAATCTGCATGGAAAGGTGAGGGCTCAGGCTCCCCAACATGAACCACAGAGCCCTGCTTGAACGCCTCCCGCTTCAGTGGCATCCGCTGAACAGCTGGCCGGTCTCATGCCCTGCATTCAGCTTGCTCTCTGCTGGGTCGCTAGGCCTGCTCCACAGCTTGCACCTGTCGGGGGTTTCCAGCAGTTACGTTTGCTCTTGTTAGAAAGAGAAACAGCCTAAGCTGTGGACCTCTCCTCCCACCTGCGCCCCACCTGGCCTGGGGGCAGTACCTGTGACTGACTGTGTGCTCTTGGGGGCTTGGCGTGTGTCAAGAGCTAGCCAGACGCTTGGGGCTGCGGAAGGGTGGAGGTTGCAGGTGTTGCAAGGGGAGGGCGTGTGGTTCCACCACGGGGAGTCTCATGCACTTGCTTCCTGCCTTTGTCCTTAGACGCGCAGAAATGCCAAGTGGCTGTCACTGGAGCTGACTCGGGATGGGCATAAAGTGTCTGTCCTGAGCGGGGAGCTGACAGTGGAGCAGCGGGCAGCGGTAATCCAGCGGTTCCGTGACGGGAACAGGTGTTGCAAGGGGAGGGCGTGTGGTTCCACCACGGGGAGTCTCATGCACTTGCTTCCTGCCTTTGTCCTTAGACGCGCAGAAATGCCAAGTGGCTGTCACTGGAGCTGACTCGGGATGGGCATAAAGTGTCTGTCCTGAGCGGGGAGCTGACAGTGGAGCAGCGGGCAGCGGTAATCCAGCGGTTCCGTGACGGGAAGGAGAAAGTCCTTATCACCACCAATGTCTGCGCCAGAGGTATTGTCTGTAGCCAGTTGTCCCAAAGCCTGCCCCTGCTGGGAACTTTGTTCTCCCAGACCGGGGCCACACGGGGCGTCCTGCCCTGCATACCCTTCCATGCCTCCCACCGTCACTGCAACCCTCTGTGGTGCACAGCAGCTGCGGGCGGCTGCCTGGAATCCTGTAGCCTCTCGCACGTAGAGACCTCGCCCTGAGCTTTTCTTCTCCACTGTGGTCACGTGCAGCGTTGGGTTCCAGTGTCCTATCTGTGGGCTTTTGTGGATTTCTGATTCTACAAACTCTTGGCAGAGCCGATGCCGGTTCCTGTAGCTTGCAAGAACGGCCCTCAGAATAATTCTGTGTTTTGACCCTTTTGTATACAGCTCTGTGCCTGCTTCTGCAGGTGGCGCTCGTAGCGCCTTTGAAGCCTTATCTACACTAGCAAACCCTGTCTAGCCACAAATCACAGCTGGTACCACACAGTGGTATGAACCCCCCAGTTCACCAAGGGTGAATTACACTTGTGAAATTGCTAGTGTAGCCTCAGTTCAGCTTGAGCATTTCCAGCCCTCATCTTGGGTGGAGTTACTGAAGTCGGTTCCTGTTTCTTACCCATATGCAGGTAATTAATTGGAGTGGAGCAGGGCTTAGGCATGACACGGGCTCCAGCCCCCGAAAGCTTCTGCCCAAATACATCCGTGAGTCGTTAAGGTGGCCCAGGACTCCTAGCTATGGACCTGACTAGGCTGGCACTGAGGAGGAGTCTGGAACTCTCCCCGGACCCCCACAGCAAGCTCAGTGTATCCCGGTCTCGTGTGCCGAGCCTTTCCTTCCATATGGGTGCCCTGTCCGTGCAGGCGGTGTTGGCTCTGGGAGGCCTCTGTCATGCTGTGCACTGGAAGGTGATGCAGCACAGACCCACGCTGGCTACGTTCGTTGTGGGACCTCCCTTTCTCTGGAAGGAAATGACATTTCTTTCTTGAACACCAGTTTGTTAAATTATTCTCTGGTCCCCAAACGTGCATGAGTATTGGCCAGTATTTCTCTTCGAACCTTTGTCTACTCTGCCCTTTTCCCTGCTTCTGGTGCCGTGTGAGAGTGATGGGGGAAACTCTAGTGTGAACAAGATGATCTTGGCCAGCCACAGTCTTGTTTAGACCTTCCCAGAACAGGGTTAGCAAGCACTGCTGGCCGTTGGAAGCAGCCAGCTAGCAACAACAGACATTTTAGGCAGGGTTGAGGTAGGTGTAATCTGAAGACCCATGTCTTCTCAAATACAGAAGTTTCTGCCCGCACTCTGGGGTCACCGCTTCTCATTACCCTATTTTTCAAGGTAACTTGCTTAGGGTTTTCTGAACACAACTGAAGTGAGCATATTAATTGGGTCCCCTTCCCAGCTGAGTGTCCCAAGCAAGAGAAATGGCTAGTCTCAGGTCCCCATGGGCAGAAAGGAAATTGGACACATTGATCCTATTGCTACTGGGATTCATGGCTGAGGCCTGACATGCAATATAAGGTAACTTTGAAGTTCATCAGTGAGCGCTCTCTCGCTCTCTCTCTCTCTCTCATATATTTCTCCTTGCTTAGGCATTGATGTGAAACAGGTCACGATTGTTGTGAATTTCAACCTCCCGACAAACCTGTTGCATTATCTGGACTTTGAGACCTACCTACACCGCATAGGACGAACCGGTCGTTTTGGGAAGAAGGGTCTGGCCTTCAACATGGTGGAGAGACACAACTTACCCCTGATACGCAGCATCGAAGAGCATTTCAGTGAGTACAGCCCGCAAACCTGCCCTGCCCTGCCAGCCATGCTGTGCAGAAGTTGGTCGTAGCAGCAAGGTACAAATCCCTGATGCCACAGTGAGCTGTGTATTGTGTTACTTGCACACGCCTAGGTTAAAAGTACGTTTGCGAAGGTTGCAGAGTCCAGCCCTCGGAAAGGAAGACGTGCCAAAGTCAGGGTTGACTAGGCCCAAGGTTGTACGTATATTATGTTACATTTAATTACACGGTTACGTACATTTCTACCCTGGACCTTCCTCATTCAGTGCACGGGGAGACGGTTCTCGCTCCGTCAGTGGCTGTTAAGTATGTTCTCAGTGTTCGGCGTCTGGCCCCAGGCTCAAAATGGCTTTTCCGTGCTGCTCCTCACTAGTGTCCACATGCTGCATAAGCCTGTGCGCGCGCGCAGATTGCCTGTGAGGTGAATGGGGTATTGGCCCCATTGTACAGGTGGGGAACAGACTAAGGTGAGGCGACCAACGGGTTCCCTGGCAGGGAAGAGGGGAGCGAGAGTGGCAGAGGAAGTGCCATGCCGAAGTAGGAAGTAACGGAGCGAGAGAGCCCGGGGCAGGCGCACGCGCACTGCACCCCGGGGATGTTATCAGCAGGAGCGCGGCGAGGCAGGCTCCTGGAGCTGTAATGCATGCGGGGGCTGGACTGGTGCGAGAGGCCGTTGAAGAGATGGGCGGGTCAGGCGGCTCCCCCTCCCATGCCGTGTGCCATGCTCCAGCTGCGGGTGACGGGCAGTCTTTGCATTCAGCCCACAACGGTTTGGCAAACTGCAGCTGTAGAATGCCCCCAGGCACGCCCTTCCTCCCCGTGGAGCAGTGCTGCCGTAGTGGATCTGGCGTTCGATTTGGCAGGGCTAGGAGGGACCCACCATATCAAACACTGAGGCCCCCCATCGGCACGGGTACTCCTGCTGCTCGTGAGGAGTCAGGGAAGTCAATAGGAGCCTTTCTCACGCTGATGATTTCTATGGTATTAGAAGCTGAGTGGAAGTCATGTAGGATAATCTGGCTTTTCTGCTTTTAGCAACTTTAATGCTGCAAACCGGAGTGTAACTTTGAGATTGAGAAAATTATTGAACAAGGCTAATACTTAGCATGTGCAGTGCTTTATGTTCTAAGTTATCAGAGCGGCCACCAGGGCAACCTGGGGAGGGCTAGCCTCCCACTAGTTCGAATTAAGTGGCTACACAGCCCTTAATTCGAACGACTTAATTCAAACTAGGTGTTAGTCCTCGTAGAATGAGGTTTACCTAGTTCGAATTAAGTTTGAACTAGCGGTTTGTATGTGTAGCGCCTATTAAAGTTCATTTGAACTAACGGCTGTTAGTTCGAAGTAAATTTGTAGTGTAGACATACCCTCAGCGACCAGGGAGCTTGCGAACAGGGGCTGTTAACAGGAGTTTGGAGAGGGAGTTGGGAACGGGGTGAGATACTCTCCGTTCTTTAAAATCTTTTCACTACACTTCTGCCCTTCAAGGAGGCATTTAATAACAACGGAGGAATCTCTCAGAGGGAAGGCAGGTATAGATGGTGATAGGTCTGCTGCTGTTACCTGCACAGCATGTGCATGTTTGTCTTCCTCCCAGAAGAAAGAAGGGATTTCATCTGTGCTAAATGAAAGCTGGTTGCCATTTTGGAGCAAAAAATTAGAGGACTGGAGGCCCAAGTGTGTTCCCCAATTATCACCTCTAATATCATTAGCTCACAGACATTTACCTCCCTCCCTTCCCCCCCTCCTCCATCCCCCTTCTGTTCTGAAATTTGATTTGTCCTTTTCATATGTGTTCATTTTTTTAAATTGTATCCTTTGGTTCCTATCCCTGTAGAGGTAAGTAATCGCTTTCAGGCTCTCTCCACAGGCACTGCAGTGGAGAATGCTTTGGCAGGGACCTCTCAGGGAAGAAATCAGAAGGATACACCATCTACCGGAAGGCATGGGATGCATAGTCCTAGGGATGGGGGTTCCACGACCAGCACCCCCAAAAGAAGATGACTGGTGGTGGTGGTCGGGGACTCCCTCCTAAGAGGGACTGAGTCATCCATCTGCCATCCAGACCTGCAATCTTGAGAAGTGTGCTGCTTACCGGAAGTTCACATTCAGGATGTGACTGAGAGTCTTCCGAAAGTGATTAAACCTTCGGATTCCTACCCCTTCCTGCTTCTCCATGTAGGAACTCGCGATATGGCCAAGAATGACCTTGAGCAGGTCACAGCAGACTGTGTAGCGCTGGGAAGAAGGATCAAGGTATTTGAAGCGCAAGTGGTGTTCTCGTCCATCCTTCTGGTTGAAGGAAAAGGTCCAGGTAGGGAGTGTCGAATTGAGGAAGCAAAGGCGTGGTTGCACAGGTGGTGTTGGAGAGAAGATTTTGGTTTCTTCGACCATGGGATTCTGTTAAGAAGAGATGGGATCCACCTAACCAAGAGAGGAAAGAGCATCTCCGTGGGCAGGCTTGCAAACCTAGTGAGGAGGCTTTAAACTAGGTTCGTTGGGGGACGGTGACCAAAGCCCTGAGGTAACTGAGGAAGCCGGACACCGGGAAGAATCACAAGGAGGAACGAGCAACAAAGGAGGACCGCTGGTTTGGATGGAGAAGGCAGGGCGATCAACTGGTTATCTGAGGTGTTTGTACACCAATGCGAGAAGCCTGAGGAACTATGATTTGATTGGAATAACAGAGACTTGGTGGGATGACTCGTATGACTGGAGCACTGTCATGGAAGGGTATAAACTGTTCAGGAAGAACAGGCGGGGGAGGAAAAGAGGAGGAGTTGCATTGTATGTAGGAGAGCAGTAGGATTGCTTGGAGCTCCTGTACTTAGAGGGAGAAAAGCCTGTTGAGAGTCTGTGGGTTATGTTTAGAGGTGGAAGCAATAGGGGTGATGTTGTGGTTGGTGTCTGCTATAAACCGGATCAGGTGGATGACGTAGACGAAGCTTTCTTCAGACAACTGAGAGAAGCTTCCAGATCACAGGCCCTGGTTCTCATGGACGACTAATCACCCTGACATCTGTAGGGAGACCAATACAGCAGGACACAGACAATCTGGGAAGTTTTTGGAGAATGTTGGGGATAACTTCTTGGTGCAAGTGCTGATGGAACCGACCAGGGGCCATGTGCAATTTGACCTGCTGCTCTCAAACAGGGAGGAGCTAGTAGGGGAAGTAGAGGTGGGTGACAACCGGGGAAGAAGTGATCAAGAGATAGTAGATTTCAAGATCCTGACCAAAGAAAGAAAATAGAGTAGCAAAATACATACCCTGGACTTCAGAAGAGCAGACTTTGACTCCCTCAAAGAACTGATGGGCAGGATCCCCTGGGATGCTTACATGAAGGGAAAAGGAGTCCAGGGGAACTGGAAGTATTTTAAAGAAGCCTTATTAAAGGCACCGGAAGAAACCATCCGGATGCGCAGTAAGAAAAGCAAATATGGTAGGCGACCAGATTGGCTTACCGGGGACATCCTTGGTGAGCTTAAACACAAAAAGGAAGCTGACAAGAAGTGGCGACTTGGACAGATGACTAGGGAGGAGTATAAATATATTGCTCGAGAATGCAGGGCAGTTATCAGGAAGACAAAAGCACTATTGGAATTGCGACTCGCAAGGGATGTGAAGGGCAACAAGAAAGGTTTCTACAGGCATGTTAGCAATAAGAGGGTGATCAGAGAGGGGGTGAGGCCCTTACTGGATGAAGGAGGTAACCTAGTGACAGATGATGTGGGGAAAGCTGAAGTACTCAATGCTTTCTTTGCCTCTGTCTTCATGGACAAGGTCAGCTCCCAGACAAATGCACAAGGCAACGCAGTATGGGAGGGAGGTGGGCAGCCCTTGGTGGGGAAAGAACAAGTTAGGAACTATTTAGAAAAGCTAAACGTACACAGATCCATGGGCCTGGATTTAATGCATCTGAGGGTACTGAGGGAGTTGACAAGTGTCATTGCAGAGCCTTTGGCCATTATCTTTGAAAACTCGTGGAGATCCGCAGAGATCCCAGATGATTGGAAAAAGGCAAATTTAGTGCCTGTCTTTAAAAAAGGGAAGAAGGACAATCCAGGGACCTACAGACCAGTCAGCCTTACCTCAGTCCCTGGAAAAATCACGAAGAGGATCCTCAAGGAATCCATTTTGAAGCACTTGGAAGAGGAGAAGTGATCAGGAATAGTCAACATGGATTCACGAAGGGCAAGTCCTGCCTGACCAATCTGATTGGCTTCTATGACGAGGTAACCGGCTCTGTGGACATGGGAAAGTCAGTGGATGTGAGATACCTTGACTTTAGCAAAGCTTTTGATACGGTCTCCCACAATATTCTTGCCAGCACGTTAAGGGAATATGGATGGGAGAAATGGACTGTAAGATGGATAGAAAGCTGCCTAGACTGTCGGGCCCAGTGGGTAGTGGTCAACAGTTAGATGTCAGCTTAGCCGTCGGTTTCTAGTGGAGTGCCCCAAGGTTTGGTTCTAGGACCGGTTTTGTTCAACATTTTTATTAATGATCTGGATGAGGGGATGGATTGCACCCTCAGCAAGTTTGCAGATGACACTAAGCTAGGGGGAGAGGTAGATATGCTGGAGGGCCGGGATGGGGTCCAGAGTGACCTGGACAGATTAGAGGATTGGGCCAAAAGTAATCTGATGAGGTTCAACAAGGCCAAAGCATTGTTACAGGCTGGGGACCAACTGGCTAAGCAGCAGTTCTGCAGAAAAGGACCTGGGGATGGACAGTTAGAGGAGAAGCTAGATATGAGTCAATAGTGTGCCCTTGTAGCCAAGAAGGCTGATGGCATATTAGGGTGCATTAGGAAGAGCATTGCCAGCAGATCTAGAAAAGTGATTATTCCCCTTTATTCAGCACTAGGAGGCCACATCTGGAGTATTGTGTCCAGTTCTGGCCCCCCCCCCACACTATAGAAAGGATGTGGACGCATTGGAGAGGGTCCAGCGGAGGGCGACCAAAATGGTTAGGGGGCTGGAGCGTATGACCTACGAGGAGAGGCTGAGGGATTTGGGTCTGTTTAGTCTGCAGAAGAGAAGAGTGAGG